CTCCAGTACTACTGTGAGGGACCCTGGAGTCATTTGCCACCACTTTGCATCACTAACTATCTCTCCTGTAGTGTGTTCTCTCTCTCTCCCTGTACCTTTCTGCAGGTAGCCCTGGCTCTGGAGCTCTATGTTTCTGATGAACAGCCACCAGACACATCAACCTGCCCCATGTTTGATTGTTTGTTGTTGTGTCTTGTTGCTTTTCTTTTCTTTTGTCTCTCCTCTATCCACTCACCCCAACCGGTCGAGACAGTGTTACCTGTGGTGATGCAAGCAGCAGACTGAGGCTCCAGGCCACTAGCAGCATGCGTCGATTCCTGCAATGTGCAGTCAGAGCATCCAGCGGGTGTAGTATGGCGTGCTGACGGTCAAGGCTGATGACAACAAGGACGAAGGCAGATGCGTGCATGGCGAACAGCTTTAGGAAGCAGAGCAGCTTACAGAGCACGTCTCCTCCATACCACTGAACTGTGACGTTCCACGCCGCATCCAGAGGCATCACCACAAACGTCATCATCAGGTCAGCTGCCACCAGGCTCAGCATCAGCGGTCGCAGATGAGATGCCAGCTGCCGTCCACGCCCACACCACACACTGACCAACAAAGCCAGGTTACTGCAGGCAGCGAAGAGGAAGAGGACCAAGGTGGCTGCAACACGGAACTGAGCAGCCCGAGTGAAACTGGGGGCCTCCCAGTCTGAGAGTGGGGGGAACTGGGAGGTGTTGGGAAGTAAGGCTACAGAGCTGGTGGGTGGAGCCAGTGATGACAGTCTCAGGATAGACCAGTTACCTGACATCCTGCAGAGAAGACAACGAGGGTGAAGGTAGTTTCTTTCTAACACCATCCAGACAAAAAAACCCAAAACGAACAAACAAAAAACAAAAAGAAATGTCACATGTCTGTGGCAGACACGTTTTCTTCTTCCTCCTCCCTATCCAATTGTTGTCTGTCGACTCCTCGAGTGGCCCTGACCCGCAGGTTGAGAACCTCTGCTGTAACACACACACTGAGTCTGTTTACAGTCTGTGAATCCTCAGGTTTCTGAAACAGCTGCCGTGCTCTGACTGGACACCTGCAGACCTGTCTGTTTATCTGCCTGCAAACAGTCCAGCTCTTATTGTGACAGTGACTTCCTGTCAGTCTGTGCAAATCAAAGATCAGAGATAAGCGTCTTGTTAAAGACGCTGTAGAAAACCTGAGGGGGTTACTATGATAACCGATTCACACTGAGCAGCAAGGAGTCAGCTGACAACAACCAGGACCTGGACTGGTGGACCTGTTCAGATCCCTGTGACCCTGTGATGATCATATATGAAAGCATCTGTGTTAGGACTATGTGTTCACTTTTGTCTCCAGAATAAGTGAAACATAATTTGTCTGCTCTGTTTCTCTGTGGTGAAACAAAAGCAACATGAGCTATTTTCATTCCCAGAATTTTGGGTAGAAACACAAGTGTGTGTTCCTGAGTTTCTAGAAGGATCATGGTTCACTGTGTGACTTGCTGCTGCTGAAACTCAATCTGAAAACACACAAACTGCTTCTCCTCACTGTAATGTTATCACAGTGTGTGTGTGTCTATAATGTTGTTAGTGTGTGGAGAGGACACCACATTGTGTGTCTGTGGCCTGTGCTCTGAGCTTCATACAGTTTCTGCAGCTCTGACAAATGAAATAAACAGATTTATCTGATTATCAGAAAAGCCCATCTGTAAAAATAAGCATCACTTTTAAAATTCAGCTTACTATGCTGTATACTCCTATTTATTTAGAGTGGTGAAAGTACTGTAAGCGGTTTTCTACTTATTCAGCACTTTTCTACGCATTGCAGCACACTCAAAGTGCTTTCATACTATTTGTAACTAAATACTGTTGAACTCAGTTTTGAAGTACTTGTTCTTTACTTGGGTGTTTACATTTTCTGTTGTTTTTGCTGTTACATGATACATTTCAAATTCAGTTTATTAAAATAAAATATCAGATGTGTTGTTATAGATCCACCTGTTCAGCAGATAAACACTAGATCTGCCTTCTTTCACCTGCACAATGTTGTGAAAATCAAGAGCATCCTCTCACAAAGTGATGCTGAAAAACTGGTCCATGCATTTGTTACTTCCAGGCTGGACTACTGTAGCTCTTTACCATCAGGATGTCCCAGTAATTCCCTAAAAAGCCTCCAGTTAATCCAAAATGCTGCAGCCAGAGTCCTGACAGGAACTAACAAGAGAGATCATTTCTTTTTTATATTAGCTTCTCTCCACTGGCTCCCTGTAAAATTCAGAATAGAATTTAAAATCCTTCTCCTAACATACAAAGCCCTTAATAGAGTCCACAGAAGCAGAATGGGAGGCAGAGCCTTTAGTTATCAAGCTCCTCTCCTGTGGAACCAGCTCCGAGTCTCAGTTCAGGAGGCAGACACCCTCTCTACCTTTAAGATTAGACTTAATACTTTTCTTTTTGATAAAGCTTATAGTTAGGGCTGGATCAGGTGACCCTGAGCCTTTTCTTAGTTATGCTGCTATAGGCCTAAGCTACTGGGGGTCTCCATGATGCTCTGAGCTCCTCTCCTCTCCTCTCGTCTCCTCCCTCTCCTCTCCTCTCTCTCCATTCATCTACTGTATATTCCACCACTACATCTCATTAACTGTGTGTCTTCTCTCTCCCGTAGTGTGTCTTCTCTCTCTCCCTGTGCTGTTCTGCAGGTAGTCCTGGTTATGGAGCCTTTACCTTTCTGATGAGCAGTGACCAGCCACAGCAATTATTAATAATATTAATAATAATAATGTGGTCTGGACCTTACTATGTAAAGTGTCATGGCATGATCTTGTGAATTGGCACTATAAAAATATAACTGAATAGAATTGTGTTGTAGTGCCACTTTTTTTTTTATAATATTGTTATTAATACTGGTACACCATAATGTATTTTGTATATTTTATGAGCACAGTTTTTAAGGTGCAGCATCACAGGCTGCTCTTTTACCAGAGTACAACTAAACATCATTGACTGACTTAATGTGATATTTTTTTCTGACATTAACACACTCTCAGGTCATGTTACAGCCTCTGCAGTTATTTTTAGCCTGTGTGTGTGTGTTTCAGTGTGTGTGTGTGTTCACAGTGTCACCTTGGTAACCTCCACCTCTCTCTGCAGAGTTTCAGGTCCCTCCCCCTGCACCTGATTGACTGTAATATCTTCTGTGTCAAGGTAAAATAAATCCACTCCTCCCTGCCTGCACTAATGTTATTGTATTGGCTGTTTTCTTTGGAGGCAACAACCATCACACAACCAACATCAGTCAACCCAAACTTTGGGTTAACCTTGACCTAACCTTAATCTAACAATGACCAAACCTTGACCTAAATGTCAGACTGGTCCTTTAACCAGCTTCCAGGACCAACCATGCAGCAAACAGCTGAAGGTGCTGCACAGAAGAACTGGGCAGATGTCTCAGCAAGCACAGATGCCACCCCAGGGCATGTATGCTCTCCCCATCTCTGTTTTCCCTCTACACCAACAACTGCACCTCAGAGGACCCCTCTGTTAAGTTCTGAAGTTCACAGATATGAACACGCTCAGACCAGTGGAGATGACAGTGGACTTCAGAAGGAACCCCCCACCCCTCATCACCCCCATACTCAGCAGCACTGTATCAGCAGTAGAGTCCTTCAAGTTCCTGGGCTCCAAGGTCTCCTAGGACCTGAAGTGGTTGTCCAACATCAGCACCATCACCAAAAAGGCACAGCAGAGGATAGACTTCCTGCTCCAGCTTAGGAAGTTCAATCTGCGCCAGGAGCTGCTGATTCAGTTCTAACTTCTGTGGGGGCACTGACAGCTGGTACAGTCTTAGTGACCCTGATATCACAGCAGCTGCAAGAAGAATATGCAGCATGTTGTGTCTCATGTTTGAATTTGGCCATTGATTCATTTTGAGTTTTTGATAATAAACTCTGAAGAGAGACCAGAATCAGGACTGTTAACTAAAGGCTTCAAGAATAAGATGCATTTTATTCTGACTCCATCATTTCCAGGGTTGAGCACAAAAGCAAAGATCTTATTCAAAGATTAGAACTAATAAAGAATCGTATTTTATATTATATTTCCAATGTGTTCACGTGTAAACAGTGTTTAATGTTGGCTAGTCAAAGTGGTACATTCACCATCTGTATGTGAAAATCAATGAAAAATCTCCATGATTAGTTATAGAGGTGTGAGAATCTTTATTTATGAAAATGCTAACGAACAAAACTCCCAGTGCCGTTCTGTTTGTTTCCTTTGGAAAAGAACTTTTCAATCATTTTTAAAAAGTTAGAATCATAAAAAATATTTCTGACCCAGAATCAGGGACAAAAATTTACATAATTCCAGAATATTTACAAAACCAGTCATCTTATATTAAAACAGATTCAAATGATTTCACTGCAGATGTCTAAGACTTTTAGGATCCCATCAAAGATGGAAATCACTTGGTGAGGTGAAGACTTTTGTGTTCTGCTGTTCCTAACACATCCATGTGTAAAGGGCGTAGCCAGTAACTGCAGCTGTCACAAAACTGCAGTGGAGCAGAGAATAAAGTGGCAGAAAATGGAAATACTAAAGCACTGGTACATCAACAAGCTCAGTACATGTATTTACTGTCCTCCATTGCTCTGCTAAATTTCAGCCCAGAAACACTGATCAGCTTCTGCTCTGAGACACTAACACCCTGCTGTCTCTCAGAAAGGCTTTTATTGTGAAAAGATAAGTGTTTTCTTTTTTTTTTTTTTTTACCTGCTCAGCAGCTCTGAATCTTTTCTCCTCCTCAGGTTGGACTGCGTTCTCCTCTCCTCATGTTCAAGCTTCAGTCCATAACTTAGAGAACCCTGAAGAACCTGCAGATCCCAGTCTGAGACACAGAACCTGGTGTAGTCCAAATCAGTTCAGGATTGTGTCTCTGCAGCTCTGATCTGAAACACTGAAACACACTGCAGCATCGAGGAGGAGGAGCTTCCAGTGTGTGAGCATTCCATCCTGTGTGTGTTTGTTGGAGGGGGGTTTTGTTTCGTGAGGACATTTCGACACTATCAGGACATTTCTGCACTGTGAGGACATTTCTGTATGGTGAGGACATTTATCCACAGTGAGGACATTTCTACGCTGTGAGGACATTTCTCCACAGTGACACATTTCTGCATTGCACAAACAGGAGTCATGCAGAGTCTGCTGCATTTTATTGTGTGTGCTTCATCAGCAGAATCGGCCCTTAATGAATTAAACATCAGTCAGATTGTTTCCACTGAAAGTGTGGATCCACAGCAGGAAGTTTAGACATTTCAGAATTTTATCAGAAAATAAAACATTTGAGAAAAGTGAGAAAACATAAACTTGACCTTGTGTAAAAGAAATAAAATGATTTTCTTTTTACCTTTATTAGAAAGCCGATGTGCAGTAGAGAACAACCTCACACAATACAAAGTTAATACAATCATAAAAATACATATATATATTTAT